CCTTTTTTAGGTAAAAAAGTATAATTAGCAAACGAAGAAAGTAATGTAAAGGTAGGTGAATGTGAGCATATACCCATACCTCTAAAAGACTCATTTTACAAAATGATATAAAATCATTTCCTAAGTGAAGTTTTTAACTTGAATGCCTTCTTGTATTAGTTTGCATTGCTTTTTTTATATTTGTCATTTGTTTTATACGAAAATCTAAACCCATGTTTTTTAGTCAGTTTGCATGAAAACCAACACCATCCTAAGTTACACAGCTAATCAGATAAACAAAACAATCTAAAAACAGCTTGTAAGTCAAGCAAAAGGTATAAACAACCACCAAGGTATATAACAAATTTCCCAATTTAACCCAAATAATAGTGGACACTCTCATTTTAGTAGTACTAAACACAACTCCCATGGATTCAAGCACACCTTGAGATGAAGTTCCTAATGATAAGGGCTAAGTCAAGGCTATCAAAAATATCATGATTGAGCAAATTTATTACCTGCACTCGTAATGTTTGATCCTTTGAAAGATGTGTTGCCTGTGGAAAGTGCACCTTCCAAGAGAGCGTTGCTCAGATTTGCCTGCAGAAATGGTACATGCATGTGTAAGAACATTAGAAAACGTTATGGAAACTTGTCAATCTTTATGTTCTTTGCTTGGAAACAATTGAACCTTGGGCCTTTTAGAATCCTAAATGGATGGTTACCACCAAAACCTGAGCCATTGACCAAGGGACAGGGATTCGGGAATTAACTCAATAGAGTCAGGGTGAAAACTAACAGATTTTAGAAAGGGAATCTGGAAATTTTATAAGGTTCTACTAAACTGGTAGAGGAAAGCCTTTTCCACTGCTGAATCTACAGGTTATCCCTGTCAGATAGACTTAGCTGTTTTGTTCAAGTTGTGATGGTGGTCCTATTAACTTGACTGAAAGATCAACCAAATTCATTCTCAATGCATCTCAAAACGACAATACTGATTATTATGACAGTGAGGCAGTGCCAAAAAATTAACACAGTACGGTAAAACCTGCTAGCTACACACAGTATGGTAAAACCTGCTAGAAAGAGAGTAAATTTCATACCCAAGCTCACGACTGCTAGAAAGAGAGTAAAGCGAAGAATGGTTAGACAATTTGGGCTCATTACATCATATATGTTCTTAAAGGGAAAAAATTAAATTAAAAAAAAAGAAAAAGATAATCGGGTCCCAGTGTGTTATTAAAAAGTGCAAAATTGGGCCAAAAATCTTAAAAAGTGCAAAATTGGGGGCTATTTCCAGAATTCTAGAAATTAAGCTGTTACATAACCCCTTCACTCTGTCCGTCGTCTGTGTGTTTGAACTTGAAGCTCCAACCATCGCGAGTCGTTGTTTTGCAGTGCGTGTAGGTTAGTTAAGGAAATGGAGGACATAGAGGATTTGCTAGTTGGGAGCGGAGGTGGAGCTCCTCCGGGTTTTCGTTTGCCCATAACAGCCGTCGGATTGAACCCAAAGAAGAACAAGAACAAGAACAAACCCAATCCCAATGGCAATAGCAATAAGCAATCTCAAATCCAAGACCCCCTTGCTCCTCTCTCCCCCAAAATCCCTGGAACTCAGGTCTTTCTCTCTATCTCTCTTTCCCTCTCCAGTGATGATTTTCTTCCGCTAACTTCTGTTTTTTTTTTCTTTATGCAGACTATATATATCAAGACATTTGGGTGCTCACACAACCAGGTACGTTTTCAGGGTTCTATTATTGCCCCATTATTTTTCTGTAGTTAATGTTACCCATGACCAACTGTTTAGATGCCCTACCAGTTTTTGCACTTTATTTAGTGTAACCTCATACTTTACCAGGAAAACTTCAGATTTCCTCCACAATTTGAATAAATAATTTTAGTTTTTCCTTCAATAATTATCGGGGGAGTTTCATTTTTTGTTAAGTTTGCAAGTTTTGGAGAATATGATGTGGTAAGAGGGGTTCAAATGATTAATTCAAGCAGCTGTCTTGAGAAGACAGATTCAGAGGTTTCTGTGGTTCTTGGAAAGAATAATGGAACCAGAAAAATAAATCATTGTGGGCTCCTTTCCAAGAATAAGTCTTAATCTTTCTCCTGTCCTACTGCTCTTCAAGCCGCATGGAAATAGAAGACTGCTAGGTTTTTAGGGAAATGCTACACTTGCCAACTTTTGTTCCCCAACTAAGATGGCAATGTCCAAGTGAGTTATATAACATGGTTGATTTTCTACTCCAATGATACAGTGTGTGCAGCAAGTGCCAAATAGGTTGGGAAACAAATGATGGGAGACAAAGTTGGGCTGTTAGGAATTTTTCATACTCTTATTATGAAAATGAATAACTGACAGCATTATTTTATATATAAAAAGTTTCTGGAAGGGGTTTCAAAAGGTTAGAAAACATCACAATTTAAGAGTAATATTAGGCTATCTTCTTAAATCAATGACCATTAGCTTGGGTGGAACCTTTGGGTTTATAGCAAGGTAGTAGAGTAGTTGATGATGAGAACAGGGTAAGTCTTCTTAATATTTGAAAATTCCTTTCCTTAAGAAATGTAGGATGCCACCAGAGAAGGGGAGTGGGGGCGTTAAGCCAATGGCTGAACTGCTTTTGTAGATCTCCAGGCAATAAAGGTGCATCTAATTTGGTTGGTTTCTTGTTTGAAGTTTTCTTAGATCTGTATCTAAGGTTTTAGTTATTTGCTGATTATCCTCTATCATCCACCTATTTCAAATAGATCTATGATATCAAATTTTAAGGTTATTATTGTGGTTATAACTTATAAGTAGGATTTATTTGGTAGTAATGTTTTTTATTCTTATTTAATTTGGATTTTGCATCCTTTCTGATCGTATTGCGTGGAGTGGTTGTTGATGAATTTTCTGATCGTACTGTTTTTTTTTTCTCCCATCTATAAAATAGATCATCTACTGGGAACTTCCCAGTTTTAGGGAGGTTGTTGATGAATTTAAACATCATGTAAACTCCAGCTGTTAGTTCACCATTCCATTTTGCTTGACCTTAATGTTATATAAGCATGAGATTTAGTTCTGTCACCGGCATATATTTCTTTTTTTTTGGTTAAATTTATCAGGGATTGAATGAGTAAAGTTTCTCATGTTTGTATTTGTTTTCCTTGCACTTTGTCTTTATGTCAGAGTGACAGTGAATATATGGCTGGCCAACTTTCAGCTTTCGGTTATCCATTAAGTGACAATCCTGAGGAGGCAGACCTGTGGCTCATAAATACGTGAGGATCCTTTTATTGGTATCATTTGTTCAGTGGATTTGGTCATGTCTTACACTGAAAACAATGTCTTAATTTTTATTTGAAAATCAATGTCAAGGGAATAATTTAGTGCTCCTTCAGTCATTGGAACATAAAGGATATAGTTTGTGGTATAGTAATATTTTTGAACTTTAGTACACCTGTTTTAAATTCTTTGTATTTAAGTCATCTATTCTTTTTGTTCTTTCCCAAACGAATCCTTTTCTTGCTTCTGATGATTACTGTCAAGGTAGTCAAATTTACTTAAGCACCTAAGAAGGCTAAAAGAAAAACTTGCGATAATGTGGACATGTGAAACTTACTTAGGCACAAGTCATCAGCTTGAATTGACTGCTTCCCTACCCTGTTAAAAGAATGGTGTCCTGTCTTGTACAAGAAAGTAGCTTGCATAGATCGTGTTATGAGGAAATATTGTCATTTCTAACAATCAATAAAATTAAGTGACGAACAACAAACTGGGGTTTTCTTTACCAAAGTTGACTTTAAGCGGTCTCATAAGAGGCAGATAGAGTGGATTACAAGGTTTCAAGTGAGTAGATTTCTCAATGATGATGTTTGCAGGGTGGCCTCCTCTTGTGGCCGGTGTAGGAGGGAGATAAAGAAAAGAGAAAGGGAGAAAGAGAGAGAGCTGGGCTCCTCTTTTGGTGGGTGAGAGAGAGAAAGAGAGAGGGAGGAGAGGTGCTGGGGGTGGGGTTGCAGGGGAGAGGGAAGAGAGTGGGGATGTCGAGGGGAGGGTAAGTCACTGGCAGGGTACAGCAGGAGAGGGGAGGGAGGAGCACCCAAAACTATTTTCTTCTTTTTCTTTTTAAATTTGATTCGGAGGGTAAAATTTGGGTTTTAGGCTTTACAAAAAATGACGGGAAGTATAGTTGGTGACTTTGTGGTATGAATACAATTACTCTTGACATCTTGTGGATTTATTTTTTTGGTGGACTGCATGTCTAGCGTTAATGTAAGCTTTACCACTTCAACATTAATAAATATATCTCCATGTCCTATAAAAGAGGACCCCAATTGAGCGCTTTTAATTGGCCGGTTATATTGGCTGGCCTTTACATTTTCTTTCTAAAATACCTAAGCCCCTTTCTCATCTCGCATTTTTCAAATGGTTTTTTTTAATTTTCTTAACTATTAGGTTGCATCTGCCACCAAATAGAATATAGTTATTACTATTGGTCATCCAACCATTTCTCACCGTCGCTCTCTGCAATTTTGTTCTATGACATTGTGCACTAACACATCATGGGATATTGGTCCTATGGTATTTAAACTGGTATGTCACTCTGCTTTGCATGTATATTATCAAAACTAATTCAAGAGTTAATAAGTTTTAGCATTTGAACCTAGGAGCTACTTAAAATCAATTTATTTTCACAACATTTGCAACTGTTAATAATATGTTTAAGGGAAAACAGTACGTCATATATTATTACTAAGATTTTAGGTTTTGGAGTCACAGTGTTCAAATTCTTCATGGGAGTGGCTGTATTCTGGAATGGAATGTCCATTATACTCACTTCTGCAACAATTGTCATTGCGACTGTTCCCGCACTTTAGAATCTTTCTGCCAAAAGCTTTCGTCCCAAGTCTCTTAGTGCTTTTGTGTAGTAATTAATAGCAATATAATTTTTTTAACGAACTACTGTGCTTGATGTATTGCAACATTGCTCCTATCTGTATTCCTCAGAAATTGTGTGCATCCATGCTTGTCTTTTAATGCTGAAGTTCTCTCTTTCAAGCTGACCCCATTTTGTTTACACTATTTTTGAAATTTGTCATTTTTATTTTAAGATCTCTCTATGCACATGTTTACCTACGATAATTGTTATTATCTGTCAACTCATAATTCTCAATGTATAGAGTTTATTACTTTATGTAGATGCACAGTCAAATCTCCAAGTCAATCTGCCATGGATACTCTGATAGCAAAAGGTAAAGGTGCAAAAAAGCCCCTGGTGGTGGCTGGGTGTGTGCCGCAAGGAAGTCGAGATATAAAAGAGCTAGAAGGTGTCAGCATTGTAGGAGTCCAGCAAATTGACCGTGTGGTTGAAATTGTTGAAGAGACTTTGAAAGGTCATGAGGTGCGCCTTTTGAGCCGTAAGACATTGCCAGCGCTTGACCTCCCTAAGGTTTGTCTTCTAGATCTGCAATTTGGTGTTTGCATTTTATTTGTTTTCGATTTAGTTTTCTTGGAATGTTACCCATTCTAACACATTTTTTTGGTTTTCTTCACTCCTGCAAAATTATGTTTCTGTTTCCACCTTATATTGTCAACTAGTCTGGAGATGAAGTATTTGCTCTTAATTTTTTCCACAGGTGAGGAAAAACAAGTTTGTTGAGATTCTCCCTATTAACGTTGGTTGTTTAGGTGCTTGCACTTACTGCAAGACTAAGCATGCTCGTGGTCATTTAGGGAGTTATACTGTTGATGGCCTTGTAAGTTTTGTGATATTGGTTTTCCTTATTTATTTATATCAGATTTCAATTTAATAAGAATTTTAGCACTGCAGGTGGGACGTGTAAAATCTGTGATAGCTGACGGAGTCAAAGAAATATGGTTGAGCAGTGAGGATACTGGAGCTTATGGTAATTTATTGTTATAATGTCTTGTCTTCATTTAGTTGAGAATGTGAACGTACTTGTTATCTGGAGAAATTTGGTCTCAATAGAGTTCTTGATGGTACTTGGTTTTGGTATATTATACATTCATGTGATATAATCCTTGGAAGCTTGAGGTAATGATCAAACTATGTAAACCATATCTTGTTTTGAGCTTTATTGCTCAAAATGGTAATGTGGTTCTAGTTGGTTGAGAGCTATGTTAAACATGTGAGTTCCTATTTGAACAGAAAAACAAAAAA